ATCGTCTACTATTGTAGAATTGTTACATTTGGGTGTTCTTGTCTATATGAGAGCAAGTCTCTGCTTAATGCTTCATCAAATAAAGTGGGCGCATTTTTGAAACCTTGTGGCAACCTAGTCCATGTCAGTTGGCCACTTTCTCCCGTCTGGGGTCCACCCATTCAAAAGCAAAAAGGGGTTGGCTTACCGGAGCCAGAGGAAGAGTGAAGAAGGCATCCTTGAGGTCCAGCACAGTGTAGAAGATTCAGCTCAGAGGGAGAAGACTCAGGAGGGTGTATGGGTTGGGGACTGTGGGATGAAGGGTTTCCACTCGGCTATTTACCTCTCTTAAGACCTGGACTGGCCGGTAGTCTGTAGTTCCTGGCTTTTGAACCAGCAGCAGTGGAGTGTTCGATGCCAACTTGCAAGGTACCAGTATGCCCTCCCTTTTGAGTCTTTGGATGTGAACATTGATCCTCAGCTGTGCCTGTGAACTTAATGGGTACTGACAGACACGGATTGGAGTTGCCCCTGGCACTAGAGATACCACAATGGGGGGTTGAATTGTCAACCCAGAGGGGTTGATTTCTGCCCAGACCCCATGAATCTCCGTCTTCCAGGCTGAAAGCAGGGCATTAGAACTGGGTTGAGGTTCCTCCTCCGTCAGCAATAAATGTTCCTCCATCAGGGGACACATGAAAAGAATCGTCGGGGGCCGGGGGTCAAATTCAGGTTTAGCAGCAAAGGTTATTTGGGTAGAGTCCTCCCCAAAAGAAATTTGAGCCTGTAAATTATAAAGCAAGTCCCAGCCGATCAAAGGGTAAGGGTATTCAGGCATGACAAGAAAGGAATGAGTCACCTGTTTAGCCCCCAGATTCCCGATTCTAGTTTTAGTCCAAGGGTACAATTTAGTATTCCCCGTGGCCCCTTGGATGTGGGTCTTTGTTTTTGACAGGGGGCCCGCAGGTTGCTGTAAAACCAAATAGGTGGCCCCTGTGTTGATTAGAAAATCGACCGGTTGGCCCCCTACTTGTAGAGTTACTTTGGGGTCCCGAGGGCCGAGAGAAGAGCTCTGATTCCTTCAGTCTGTTTCAGGAGCAGCTGTCAGAACCTGGCTCTTACTTTCCTTTTGCTTTCACTTTGGGCACTTATTTTTCCAATGTCCTTCCTCCTTGCAATAGGCACACTGATTTTTGCCGAGGGCTAACCTCTTTTGTTTAGTCTGGGGGGGCCAGGGTCTTTTTAGTTGTTGATCCATCTTTTTCTCCCATTGCTGTGAGGACCTTGGCCATACGTTTATTTAGTTCTCTCGGATCTTCTCTATTGTTAAATACCTTTTGTGCTATTTCTACCAACTCTGTTAACGCTTTTCCCTCAAATCCTTCCATCCTTTGGAGTTTCTTTCTGATATCTGGGGCTGATTGAGACATGAAGGCAATATTTATGGCCCTTCGGTTCTCAGGAGCCTCAGGATCTATAGGAGTGTAGATCGGGTAAGCCTCTTAGAGGTGTTCAAGGAAGGCAGCAGGAGACTCCTCAGATCCCTGAGTAACCTTAGTGACCAGATAAATTAGTAGGCTTTCTAGCTGCTGCCTTCATAGCCCCTAAAAGAAGCTGGCGATACCGATCAAGAGCCTCCTTACCTTGATTGGAGTTGGGGTCCCAAGCGGGTTGAGTCAGAGGGAAAACATATTCTTGTCGGGTCAGGTCTGAGGACGCTTCTTGTTGGCTGGGGTAGCCCACGCAACCGTGGGGGTTTGACCAGCCGACCGTGAACGGCATCCAGAACAGCTGGCCTTTAGCCATTTTAGAGGGTCATGGACCAGATCAATCCAAGCCTGAATGTAAGGAATCTGGTCGGGGTGTCCTGGATTTCCGAAGATAATTCCCCAGACCTGGTAAACAAGAGAAAGGTCAAAGAGCCCTCCGGAGGCCAGGAAACTCCTAGAAAAGAGGGCCACTCCAATTCATAGAAGGTCCGGAGTTTGCCAGGGGACACAGAGTCCCCATAGTCAGCAGCTCGTT